GTGTGTGTGTGTGTGTATGTGTGCCTGTGTGTGTGAACAACCCGCGTGGATGCTCGGGGTGCTGAATCTGCTGATAAAGCAGCCACCACTAGCACTTCCCGGGAGGCTCTATCTATTGGTGAGGAGCAACACTTGCTGGAAAGCCGGCCTAGTGTCCCTTAACATTGTCTTCGTAAAGGCTCACTCGAGCAGAAAGGTCTGTCCACGGTGGTTGGAGACACCTGAAAAGACTCATCAGAGTCATAACTGTATGATAAGTCGCGGGAGCAGAAAGGTCTGTCCATGGTGGTTGGAGACACCTGAAAAGACTCATCAGAGTCATAACTGTATGATAAGTCGCGGGTTCAAATCCCTTTTCCCCTGGGAGGGTTGGTTGACGCAATCACAAATGGCATAATGTGGCTCAGTGGTTAGAGCACCGGTTGGAAATGCGCATTGTGGTATGAGGTTGCGGGTTCAAAACTCAATGGCAACCTTGCCCATGGACACTGGCAGGGCGTTAGATTGACGCACAGCTGGACATACACTCCCCTTGGGCTGACGCATGGTACTATTACAGACACTGCCTGCGCACCACCCAAGGGTTGTTCATGGTGTTGTATGTTGGTTCTGGGTTTCACATGGGTTGCTTGGGAGTGTTGGTCTTGGGTGCTCTGTTGATCTCCCCAGTCTGGCATATCACACGTTTGTGCCATTTCCGCTAGTTGTTCACATGGTAGAGTCATTCGATTACATGTTACAAGGTCACAGGTTCGAGCTTGGTTCGAACCTTGGGCGGGTCCTTGTCCAGCTTTCCCCGTTCTCTCGTCGATATATACACATGACACTGCCTATACATCTCTCGACAAACTGATTCACAGAGCACACACAGCCTTCGGGCATATGCATACCTTGTGAGTTATACATGGCCTACGGGCTACATACACAAGTTTCCACACATGGTGCTGTCTGTACATCTTGATACATAGATACATGGAGCATACATAGCCTTCGGATATACACATAGATTGCGAACTACACGACTATCAGACTGGGGGGGTCTTGTATCTGGGTGGGGTCTTGTATCTGCAGTAGGTACAGGTAAGGGCCGCTGGAGTTCCTACTGATATTCGGATAGAACTGTCTGGTGGATATATAAGGCTTAGACCCTAGGGTAAGGGTAGGGGTATAAGTCGCTCAGGCCAGTCCGAGTTCCGTCTGGCCTTGGGTAAGCTAGGGGAAGGACGGTAAGCCTGCTTCAATGGGCGCTACTCTGTCTGAACCTAGGGCCTAGAGTCTCTTGGGGCCTGGGCCTGGCGTCCAAAGTTCCCGTTCGACACGGCTCGTTCGATTCCGCTTCCACCAGGGCTGGGCAACCTGTGAGCCCTGGTGCCTATCACTGCTGTTCGGTTCAAGTTACTTGTATTGAGCTAAGAAAAATAATAAAAGAAAATAAAATAAAGGGGTAGCTACGCGGGAGTCACAAAAACAGTTTTAATATAAATTTGAAACACAGTTTCTGCGAGGGGAGGGGACAGGAGAGACAAGGGTCAGCAAGCCAAGAGAGGAGGGGGATTCACAAGGGGCATTCAAAAGGAAGATGAGTGACAGAGAAACTTCTACGGGGGGTATTGCGAGCCACGACACAAAAAGATCTCATACGGGCAAGAGGGAAGAGGAAGCTTCAGTGTCGCAAGGCCAAGTCCATGGATCAGGCACGAGAGAAGAGGGGCAAGGGGAGGCCAAGGCACAGAGTGAGGGGATGGACATAACTCCATCGGAGGCAGAGGATTCGTCATCTTCTTCTTCGGACCAACATACACGCCCAGGTTCACCATCAGCAGGTAACAGCCCATCAGGCAGAGCACGGATGGACAGCGGGGAAAACGGAATGGCAGATCCACCGAATGACTCAAAAGGAGAAATGGATAGCGGGGAAGATGTTAGAATGTCACAGGACTCGGGAGAGGACTCAGGAGAAGACACAGGAGAAGACACAGGAGAAGACACAGAAGGGGAGAAATGGGAGGATGCGGAGGAGGAGGAGGAACCGGAAACGCTAGCCCAGTGGATCAGAACGGTACACAAGCTGAAGTGGGGAAGACACGTCGAATGTGAAGTACGTCTGGCGCATCATAAGCATCTACGCAACCTGAAGCAGGCTACTTCAGCTGGGGATGATATTACCTCAACAAACAGATTTGAATGGTTGAGGAAAGAGCAGGAGGTCAATGAGTTCTACGCATCACAGTATGCTTGGAAGGCCCACCCAAACAGCAACGACATTTTGGTACACAACGGGAACTACGCCAAGCAGTTTATATGGCCCAAAGCGTACCAACCTCAGGGGTTGAAAAGGTCAGAGCAAAAAAGGAAAGCGCAGCAGGAATCAGAAAGCCCAGCTCAAGGGACGGAGGAGAAGGAGCAGATCAAGGAGGAGATGAGACAAGCAGCGATTCTAGAGGCACAAATCAACGCCCTCAAGGATCAAAACAGGGAATTGGAGGAGGATACCATCAATCTGCTAAAAATAGCCTACTCTCCACAGGGTGACATAAATGCAGCAGCCAAGCTCTTCGCAAGGCACAATCCGGGGAGGAGAGTCATCATACCATACCGCTGGAACAACGGCAACTCGGACTGGGAGGTGGCCATACACAAGACATTGGCTCTAATCTCTACAAAGGATAGTCACTGCTCGCAGGAAAGGCTCAAGGAACAGATCTCAGGAGATCTCCCGGACAGAGCTCAGGTGGTAGGGAGCCTTTCCCAAGATCGGGAGGAGTGGGAGGACACGGCAGGTGGTAAGCAAACAGTTGACTACAGGCCTATGCTACTCAGAATGCAAGAGAAGGCAAAGCTGGCGGAGGGATTAATATGGATGCCTTGGAAGGTGGTGGAGGCAATACCATATGGACTATTGGGGGGCACAGAGGCAGCGGAATGGGTGGCTAGGGGAGCAGCGATCCTCTCCAAGGCAGATGTTTTCTCGGGGACGCCAGAGGGCATGGACACATTGTTAGCAGCCGTGGCGGCTGATTGGGAGTGGCCACAAGAGGGTTCATGAAGAAATGCTCATTAATGGACCATATTCAGGGAATACTATAAATGGCAGGGGTAGTGTTGGACGATAGAACCAAGAGAAGAAGATTATCGTCACRMGAGGGGGGAAGGGAACCGGAAATCAGAATTGTGTCTTGGAACGTTAATGGCATGGCACAKATTTTAGACAATAAGGATAAATGGAATAATTTATTAAGGGCCACGGATTGGTTCGGGAGGAACCCCCCAGACTTTTTATGTCTTCAAGAAACCCACCTCACTGACTCGCCGGCACATCAAAAGACGCAACAACGTATAGAAAAGCAACTCAGATGGGTGAAGGCTAGTTTTTGGGCCGTGGCAAATAGACCGCACTCAGCAGGGGTGGTAATTCTGTTGAATAGGAGATCGGCGGCAGCAAAGAAGTTGTCTGTGTTAGATGCCTCGACGGATGAGGAGGAGGGTCGATGGGTGAAGCTCAACTTCTCTTATCAGGAGGAACAATTCTCGTTAGTCACAGTTTATTGCCACAACTCCTACCAAAGTAGAGCAGAAATGCTTAAGTCAGCACAATCCCACTTGGAGTCAATGAGACATGTCATACTGGCAAGTGACTGGAATGCCACTCTTGACCCAGGTTTAGATAGGATAATGGGTGGAAGATCAGGATCAGGGGATGAGCCTCCGGGTGAAGAGGCCTTACCACTTCACGCACTCATGATAGCCCAGGGGCTTATTGACCCCTTCCGCCTCCACTACCCAAACCTGAAACAATACACCTACTACAAAAGGAATTGCAGCCAGCACATGTCAGCCTCTAGAATAGATTACTTCCTAGTATCGGAAGAGCTGATAGGATCTATTCACTCGATCGAAATAAGTGATATGCCGCACTGCACATGTCTAGATCACAAACCTGTGACGCTAGAGCTGACCCTAAATAAACATATCCAGAGGGGCAGAAGTTTTTACAAGATAAACAATTCCCTGCTAAAAACCCCAGAGCTAAGAAAGGCCATACTACAGGTATGCTTGGACCACGACAGCGACTCACGGTCGTTCCCTGATTTAATCAATGCACTAACGCAAGCATCGTCAGTAGTGGCCAGGCAGCTAGCAGCCAGAAGGCCAGGGAACAGGAACTTCGGCAAGCCCTACGTATAGCAGAGAGGAACCTAATCAGCAACCCGGGCACGAAATTATACGAAAACACAATAGAGGCAAGAAGGGAGTTAGGGGACTGGGAACGCTGGAGGGCTAGGGGTATGCAGTTGAGAGCAAGAGTAAAAGAATGGGAAGAAGGAGAGCGAATGACAAAGTATTTCTTTCAAAAGATTAAAACCAGAGGTAGGACATCGCAAATAGAGCAGCTGGAAGGCTCTCAGGGAGTAGTGTCAGATCCTGAAGGGTTGTTGTCAGTAGCCAGTAGCTTCTACACCTCACTCTATAGGTCTAGAGAAGGGGACCAGGATCCAAGACAGGAAAAGGAAGTTCGGAATAAATTCCTAGCCTACCTGGACCGCACGGTGAATGGGGTCCAGGCAGAGATGCTAGACGCCCCGCTTTCGCAAGAAGAGCTGAGAAGGGCTTTAGATACAATGCCTCCAAACAAAACGCTAACAAGGGAGTTATGGCAGGAGTACTGGGAAATCTTGGGAGGGGAATACGAAACCTTCTTGAACCAGGCATGGATCCACGAAGGCATGGGAGCGGAATCATCAACAGGGGTAGTCACCTTATTGTATAAGA